TTTTTTTATAGTGATCATTATAGTCTAATGTTTAGAATGTCAAAATATGTTCTCTTTTATTTTAATTTTGAAAGTTTTACTCAGACGATCGATGAAATAAAACAGTGTAGTGACGTGCCTAGTAACCTGCTAAATAACGAGATAATTCCGACGTCAAATTCTATTTTGTCCAGCGCAGTGTACAAACGTGCGCCGGTAACTGTGACGACCACGGTGACCAGCTACACCAGAACGGACATATTTAGTATCTAACTCAACCCCATGCACCAAAAATTGTTGTTATCAATGGATAATTTTAGGCGTGAAAATAGCAGCCATTTCACAGGCACTTTAAGGGTAAATCTAGCCTAAATGTTGACAGGAATGTTTTAAACACCTCTAAGTTGTCAAAATGACAGGCAATCACAGGTTTATTTATTTATTATTGTTCCTCAATATCATTAATCTAAACTGTGACATTGTGGTTTTACAAGGCTAACAAAGTTTTGTCATGGTTACATAAAATACTACACCTCAAGAGAATGGTAAGCCATTCAAATTGCATTTCCCATGACACAATGATGACTACAAAGCTGTGGTGTAAGGATGTTCTGACCAGGAATATAATTTTGTCCATACATAAATTATTGTGGGGTCAGGTTTTTAAGATACAGAAAATAAAAAAAATTGCAACAATTTCTTGAGTAACAAGAATCTGAAATGTTTAGAAAAATTGTTTACCAATATGCACACCACAAGTGGTAAATTAATACTGTGAAATAAATGACTTTCTGAACAATAACAAATTTTCCATTAGTCAGAAACTTTCATGCATGCATACCATTGCAGTGTACACTTTAGCTTTGATGTAATATTTCTACTCTAATTGCATCAATCCAGTATTTGAATATATCACCACTGTCAGGGTATTAATCTCTCCATTCCTTGTCCTACAGCTAAATAGTGCTGTCATACACTGAAACATCACAATGACACTAGAGTGAGTTCTAAATTCACGGCAGACTTATTTATTATATGGAAATTTTCAGAAAATATACAGACACTTCTCACCACCAAATAACTTACAGAATGAAAAATCTTGTAGCCTCTACACCAAAATATTACAAAAAAACAGATTTTCAGTAAAAGATAACTTCCATATGTACAAAATATATTACAAATTCTTTGTTCTAAATTTACATATCTTTGAATAATAACACATGAACTTTGACCCATGTCAATGTTTGAACTTTGACCTGATTGGGAAGGACTTCAAATTATCTATTAAAATATTGACCTATTCCTCCACCATGTGAAAATATCACTTTGATATGAAATGATAATATACATACCATGCAAGCTTGCTAACAACTAGCAACTAAGGTTGATGGTATATGTCAAATCATTATGATTCAGTATGACAAATATTCTACATAATTATATTATAGACAAATTTACAAATGAGGTGAAAGAAGCTAATTTATTAAATTATTGATATTTCACAATTTTTTAATTCTATACCCAACACTTCTGTCAGACTAGCCACTGGAACATACAAGCCTCATTTTGATACCACAGTGGCTACTATGGCCTACTAGCCTCGATCAGATATGGCAATATCGTTACTATGGCCTACTAGCCTCAATCAGATATAGCAATATGGTTACTATGGTTACTATGGCCTACTAGTCTCATTCTATTATTGTGTCGTGGCTACTATGGCCTACTAACATTCTGATGTGGCACTATGGCCTACTAGCCTCATTCTGGCATGGCGTTGTGGCTACTAACATTCTGCTGTGGCACCATGGTTACTATGGTCTAATAGCCTTGATCAGATATAGCAATATGGTTACTATGGTTACTATGGCCTACTAGCCTCATTCTATTATGGCGACGTGGCTACTATGGCCTACTAACATTCTGATGTGGCACCATGGTTACTATGGCCTATGAGCCTCATTCTGGCATGGCGTTGTGGCTACTATGGCCTACTAACATATATGTTTTATATGCTATCTTAGCAATATTCTTTTTTTGTCTGACCACTGATGTATCATGCGAGTACTAGTTGTCGCCAAGTCTGAAATTCTCATTTCGCTGTGATAAAAAAACATCCCATAATTACTGATAAACTAAATATCATGAGATTTACCATAAATTATTTCACACTAAACTTTACTACTGTGAATGAAATGCATAACACTCATGTGATAAATGTAACTAAACATTTCTTCATGAAATCAAAGATATATGCAACAGTAACAATGGTTGGGTCCAAACGACTGCCATGATATTGTGCTCACCTACATATTACCTGCACACCCTCTCTATTACAATGGTTGGGTCCAAACGACTGCCATGATAGTGATACCTCCCTCTATTAGGGACGACGTCAAAAAATCAATGTCGGATAAAAAACTTAATTCCTTTAGTTTTTTCCAAACCCCCCCCACTGAAACTTAATTGATAAATATTGGTCATGGCGTCAGACTACATTCACCATTAAATACAAATTGATAATCGACAGTAGTATTGCATAGCAGTTGGTTGTCGGGTGGGTGTAAAAATATTTTACAAATGCACCTCATTTGACGCACAGATTTACACTCGAACCAAACCATTTTTTCTGTTTTTTTTCCTTTTTCGGTTATTTCTGTCCATGATAGGATAGAAAAAAAAAAACGAACTACAAATATACCAAGATTTTTTTGACTTCATTAGAAAATAAAATCGTTTTTGTAGGATGGAAACTTTTTGAGGTCAACCCCCCCACCCCACCCCCAAACTAAAGGAAATAAGTTTTTTATCCGACATCGATCTTTTGACGTCGTCCCTTACAATGGTTGGGTCTATATGACTGCCATGATATAGTGATCACCTACATATTGCCTGAACCTCCCTCTATTACAATGGTTGGGTTCATATGACTGCTTTTATATAGTGATTACCTACATATTACATGCACACCCCTTCATTACAATGGTTGGGTCTATATGACTGCCATAGTGATCACCTACATATTACATGCACACCCCTTCATTACAATGGTTGGGTATATATGACTGCAAGGATACATTGATCACCTACATGTTGCCTGTACACCCCTTCATTACAATGGTTGGGTCTATATGACTGCAAGGATACATTGATCACCTATATATGCATGTACCTCCCTCTATTACAATGGTTGGGTCCATATGACTGCCATGATATTGTGCTCACCTACATACTGCCTGCACCTCCCTCTATTACAATGGTTGTGTCCGAACAACTGCCATGATATAGTGCTCACCTACATATTACCTGCACACCCTATTACAATGGTCTAAACTTATTTGCATATGAAAGATTGATCTGAATTTCTGTTACAAACAAATTTAACAACAGGAAAGAAGGAAATATAATAAAAATAAATAATTGAAATAAAACATGACCACAGTCAATATAGAACAATAGTTCTTAAATATATAATAAACTTTCTCTGTTTATCTTAAACCCTATTTCCTGTTGGTAGTTACAAAATTTGATAGAACAAATTAACTCAAATATAATTCAAATGAGAACCTTAACCAAAACAGAATAATCAACAACAATGTCGTTTTTGAAAATGCTAGGTAAGTTTAACATTTTAGTTCGGATGGATTTTTCGTTAATTGCACTTTTGACAAAATAACATGGCCTTCAGAAACTATTTGTTTGATAAAATTTTGAAAAATTAGCATGTACACATGGGTAGCTGCTACAAAGTGACTCATACTACGGTATTGCTTATGATCTCGGAAGCTAAATTTTGGAAATATAAAAAAAATATTCAGTGGTGGTCGGAAATGATGGAATTTGTATTGAAATTAATAAGGTATATTTTTAGTGTGCGACAACGATCAAATCACTCACATTTGTGACTACTCTAACAGTCAGCTGAAACCCTTTAAAAAACTTTCACACTAGAAAAAACAATTTAGTTTAAAAATCGACATGATTTTTAAATATCGGTTAATTTAAATTGGAATGAGAGGCTTCTATTGGCTGATGGAATAATATTGGGACATTTTTAAATGACATCATTGTGCACTGATTAGCTGATTGCACTGTCATTGACATTCATGAATATTTCTAAAAATCAAGGGAATGGGTTTGTTGTGTTGACAGTATTCATTTATGACTTAAACACTGCAAATTAACAAATTTAGTCTGGAAAACAGAATCTACATATACACTTGGAATAAATTTTGAGTGGCATACTGTTTTGTAATGGCTGTTCATTACAGAACTACATGTAAGTTGGTCGTTATTTGTTAGAGATAACAAACAAACACTATTTTCGTGTTGGAAACGGGTTGGAAAATTAATAGAGCAATCAAAATAATTGAACTTCTACTATACAGCGAGTCAAAATGCAAAATAGCTTGTGTAAAATCATTGAATTGGTGAACTTGGCATGTTCAGTGTCTAGAAGACAATGACATAGATGGTTACAGTTCCACCCTAGTAGGTATCACTCTGTATGCAAGCTAATACCCTGTATTCGACTGATGATAAAAAAAAAAGTTTTGTTAATTGTCTCAATTATAACTATGTAAACATACAACCTATATGGATAATGCAATGACAAGCTTTTCCCCAATATCTTAGAAGCTTGAACTTAATTGGCTGCAAACTAATGAGATGTAAATCCAATGCATAAGGCTAAACCAATTACTGTGCCCCAAATGTACACACAAAATGTCCACACTTGTATCTTTAAATAAATTGTATTATGAATCATAACAAAATAAAAACTTGGACCCAAATTTAATTCACACACACATCAACTATATTTGGGTGATACCATGTTATAATAGGGGTCGTGCAACATCAATACCCAAGGGGGTACTTGTTTGTATCGACTACTACAAGTTCCATGGTATCTGTACTCTTGTTTTTAAAGGCCTCTGCAATAACTTTAGCTGCATCCCTGTGAAGTAGACCTTTAAGACTTTTACCGTTGACACTCATGATCACATGGCCTCGTTTTAGATTGCTATTATGGTATGCTGAACCTCCATACTGTGGAGAAAAGAAAAACACAAACAATCTGTCATTATTATAACGTCTTTTGCACACAAGGACTAATTATGTTTTCAGTTGTGTTAATCTGTATTCAAAATAGAGAGAAAAATGAACCAGCCAGAATAGTCATGGAATTTTCTGCTTTCTCATCATTTGTAGTGTTTAGTGACACCATAGCAATGTTATCAAAAATATATCCTGTTTGGTTTCACATCATTTCAGGTCATTCACAGGTATTTTGACCAAGTAACCTTTTCACCACAAGTTCTCACACAAATTCACAAAATTATAGTCCCATTTATAGTCTACACTTTCCTTCAGAAGATTGGGTCAAAAATAGCAAAAATCGTTGAGTAAAAACTGAAAAATGTCTCAAATTTTGATTGTTGGCTCCAAAATCAGGGTTAATTTCCAGAAATATTGAAGAACATAAGAAAAAAGGTGCAGGACAATTTTGAGGTGAAGAGGCTAGTTGTGAAAATTATACCACAATATTTTGTTTAAAAATTGCTATTGAGTGTTTTTGTCCGGTACAAATCACGGTTTTCAAAATAAATTGTGTGACAAAATGGGCACATGAGTACATGTTGTGATCTAGAATTAAGTTGATACACTGTTTACTTTATGCTACTGTAAGATACAGTCAAACCTGTGTATAGTGACTACCCAAGAGACTTTAGTAAAATGTTTTTGATATGGAGGTTGGATTTATTTTTTAACGGATTGCCAACTCGTACATTTGACATAATATTTGTGGAAAAAATATTGAGATGGTATTGTTGCAACAAAATTATTTATTGGATTTTAGAAATTAAAAACAAAAGTGAATCTACAAATATATTGCTGAAAGAGTAGTGTTCTTTACACATAGGTTATTTATATGTATTATGTCTATGGACTGCCTAAAAATGGTCACTATAGGCAGGTGGTTCTTTATATAGGGGTGGTCACTATAGGCAGGTGGTCTTTATATAGGGGTGATCACTATAGGCAGGTGGTCTTTATATAGGGGTGTTTACTATAGGCAGGTGGTCTTTATATAGGGGTGTTCATTATAGACATGTGGTCTTTATATAGGGGTGGTCACTATAAGCAGGTGGTCTTTATATAGGGGTGGTCACTATAAGCAGGTGGTCTTTATATAGGGGTGGTCACTATATTCAGATGGTCTTTATATGGGGATGGTCACTATAGGCAGGTGGTCTTTATATAGGGGTGGTCACTATAGTCAGGATGTCTTTATATAGAGGTAGGCACTATAGTCAGGTGGTCTTTATATAGGGGTGTTCATTATAAACATGTGGTCTTTATATATGGGTGGTCACTATAAGCAGGTGGTCTTTATATAGGGGTGGTCACTATAAGCAGGTGGTCTTTATATAGGGGTGGTCACTATAGTCAGGTGGTCTTTATATGGGGATGGTCACTATAGGCAGGTGGTCTTTATATAGGGGTGGTCACTATAGTCAGGATGTCTTTATATAGAGGTAGGCACTATAGTCAGGTGGTCTTTATATAGGGGTGTTCATTATAAACATGTGGTCTTTATATAGGGGTGGTCACTATAAGCAGGTGGTCTTTATATAGGGGTGGTCACTATAAACAGGCGGTCTTTATATAGGGGTGTTCATTATAAACGTGATCTTTATATAGGGGTGGTCACTATAAGCAGGTGGTCTTTATATAGGGGTGGTCACTATAAGCAGGCGGTCTTTATATAGGGACCGTCACTATAGGCAGGTGGTCTTTATATAGGGATGGTCACTATAGTCAGGTGGTCTTTATATGGGATGGTCACTATAGGCAGGTGGTCTTTATATAGGGGTGGTCACTATAGGCAGGTGGTCTTTATATAGAGGTAGGCACTATAGTCAGGTGGTCTTTATATAGGGGTGTTTACTATAGGCAGGTGGTCTTTATATAGGGGTGTTCATTGTAGACATGTGGTCTTTATATAGGGGTGGTCACTATGAGCAGGTGGTCTTTATATAAGGGTGGTCATTATAAGCAGGTGGTCTTTATATAGGGGTGGTCACTATAAGCAGGCGGTCTTTATATAGGGACCGTCACTATAGGCAGGTGGTCTTTATATAGGGATGGTCACTATAGTCAGGTGGTCTTTATATGGGGATGGTCACAATAGGCAGGTGGTCTTTATATAGGGGTGGTCACTATAGGCAGGTGGTCTTTATATAGAGGTAGGCACTATAGTCAGGTGGTCTTTATATAGGGGTGTTTACTATAGGCAGGTGGTCTTTATATAGGGGTGTTCATTATAGACATGTGGTCTTTATATAGGGGTGGTCACTATGAGCAGGTGGTCTTTATATAAGGGTGGTCATTATAAGCAGGTGGTCTTTATATAGGGACCATCACTATAGGCAGGTGGTCTTTATATAGGGGTGGTCACTATAGTCAGGTGGTCTTTTTATAGGGGTGTTTACTATAGGCAGGGGGTCTTTATATAGGGGTGTTCATTATAGACATGTGGTCTTTATATAGGGACCATCACTATAGGCAGGTGGTCTTTATATAGGGGTAGGCACTGACACAGATTTGGTGTGTACCAGTGAGACAGTCACACATAGATAACACATAAATGTATCTTCCAAGTGAAAATATCAAAACAAATTGGTGAAAAAGCAAATTACGAATTATTAAAAAAAAAACACTTTTTGACAAAATACCTGAATATTGATAACTTTTGGTAAAGGTTGCTTTGTTCCAGCACCTCCCTCCACAGCAATTCCTAGTGTTGGTTTGGTCTTACTAATTATCACATGTTCACAATGTATTGGTAGACTATCATCAATACCCCTCTCAATCCTCTCACCCCTCTCAATCCTCTCACCCCTCTCAGCTTCTGAAAACTGCAAACAAATATAAGTAAGTCAAAATAATTAACATAAAATACTAACTTAGGGGATTCAATATGAATTAACCAATATACCTTACTTGTCTGACTTAGCACCTAGGGCACGCAGCTCCAAAAATCTTGTATTATAAAGGGTGGGTGCTCATAACATTTGTGTTCATCATTTACAATATTAAAAGGAATTATTATGTTTCTTTGGGGAAAACAAAATTGTAAATTAGTTGTGTACTAACTGACTTCCACATTAAAAATGTTCACACAAAAAATATGAACATTTTATTACAATATTAATTATGTAACATCGGAATTTACAGATAATTCTGGAAATCAGAAAATTAATAGCGTTTTTGGGAAAACAATCAAAGTCAAGATCTTTATCATTATATTGTTAAAACTCTTGATGCAAATCAATTTTTGCCATGGTGTGTTTCTGCATAATATCCCCTGCAACAATGTACTCTGACCTAGCAGGTCAATAGTCCTATTAACCAATCACAATGCTGTATCATATTGACCAAATTCTCTGTGAATTTCAAAATATTGACGATGGCATTTTTTTAGTGCATTGTGTTACCCATTAACACCCCATTCACACAAGTCATGATAAATACTGTAATTATTCAGAATTATTATACGTTTCCCTAGGATACCGGAAATAATTACCAATTGCTTAGATGAAAGTAATTCTTACCATATGAACACCGTTCACTGACTGAGACGATTCCGTTGATTGGCTCATAACAATCACTTTACGTTCACCTTCCCTCTCAAGGGACTGATATGGCTTTGGTACTTGTGGCGGTTTGCTTCTTGGTTTTGGTACTGGCTTTGCTGATATTGCTGGTTTGATTTTCGGACTATCTGGTATTTTAGGAGTTCTGGTCAATGTACTATTTTCTGGTAACTTTTCTGAATGCATCACAATCTCATGTCTGTCGTGTCTGACAGTGTAACTTGCTGAGTCGCCATTTGATGATTCGTTCCTTGTGAGTGTTCCTTTTAATGTACTATCAAGGCTTTCAATGGAGGACGTACTTGACGACCGACTTCTTGGTGGACTAGGAGATGTCTCTCTTCTGTTAAAATCTGATGGAGTTGAAATTCTGGAAGACTGGGAATACTCTCCGTTGTTTCTGTTGTTTCGCAAGTCTGATGCAGAGCCACTCAACGGCATAAATGTGCTTAATGTTTTTTCCTCTGATTTGACCTTTGACCTCACTGGACTTGGTGACCGCCTAATGACCACCATCTCTCCTGCTGGTTCTGGAGCCGGACTAGCTGATCGATGCACAATCACTTCAGCACGGGTTCTATGTAATGGTTTTTTGTAGACATTCTGGGTCACCTCGCTATCTATGGGACTTGTAGGACGCGGAGAAACACCAGGGCTTGGTGGCTGTTTTCTCAATTCACACAAGGTTTCACTCGCTTTCTTGGTCCTTGCAACTCGTCTCTGTTCCTCTTTGGGTACATGCTAACAAGGAAAACAAACATTACAATTCATGTCATGAATGTTACAAGGTCTATTACCACGTCATATCAGCCAGTTTACCTTTCCACCACCGGCTCCTTCTTTTTATCCCAAATCCTGTTTATAGTCTGCAGTTTTCTTCAGAAGATTGGGACAAAAATAGCAACATTTTTGAGAGAACTTTGACTCAAATTTTGTCTGTTGGCTCCAAAATTAGGGTTCATTTTCAGAAATATTGAAGAATATAAGGAAAAATTGTCAGTTGAAACTGTATAATGAGAATAATGTAACAGTAACAACAATTTAAATGATAATTGAATTGGTTTTGTGCTACACTATCATACAGTTACACAATGAAAGATGAGATTTTGCTGCATCAGTGCTGCACTACATTTCTTTATTATGAAGCCAATGAAAATGGGATATGCTGCTTACATGAGTTGGATCACTGATGCGTTGATTTCTTTTGAAATGAGATTGCACAGGCTCAAAAGCTGCTGTCTGAAAAAACGGAATAAAATGCAGGATGAGTGCGATGACTGGAATGAGACAATGAGATAGCATGTGTGACATAAAGTGAAGGTATGCCTACTACTTAACATAAAGTGAAGGTATGCCTACTACTTAACATAAAGTGAAGGTATGCCTACTATTTAACATAAAGTGAAGGTATGCCAACTACTTAACATAAAGTGAAGGTATGTATACTGCTTAACATAAAGTGAAGGTAGGCCTACTACTTAACATAAAGTGAAGGTATGCCTACTATTTAACATAAAGTTAAGGTATGTCTACTACTTAACAAAGTGAAGGTATGCCTACTATTTAACATAAAGTGAAGGTATGCCTACTA